GTTGTCTTACATGTATCCTTTTAGTTCAGTGGTTGTCAAAGGGTGGTCCCTGGCCAGTAGCATCAGCATTTTGTGGAGACTTACTACAAATGCAAATCCTTGGTCCCCACCGCAGACCCAATCAGAAACTTTGGGGACAGTGGCCCAGCAATCTGTGTTCTAATAAGCCCTTCAGGTGATTCTAATGCACATAATATTTGAGAATGCCTGCCTTTGTTCCATCTACCTAGACTGCTCTCCTCCTTTCTCACTTACTGAATTCCTAGTTATCTTATAAGATGATGTGTGTCTGGCAGAGTTACCCTCTCTTCTGTGTCATACAGTACTTTATCAAATCTCTTTTATAGCATTTATACTGATGGCGTCTGTCTCCTTTTAAAGGTGGAGGCCACAACATAAATTACTTTAGCATCTGCATGCAGCATCTACCTTGGTGATAAGTTATTAAGTGCTGGTGAATAAATGAATGTATGCATGAATGAAGGAGAAGAGCATTATAGGAGGAGTGGTGATCAATAAGGTCAGCTGCTGTGAAGAGATCATGAGAATAATGAAGGAAAAAAGCTATTGGATTTCATAGTAAGGCAGGTGTTGGTGACCTTTGAAATGCTTGCTTCAGCAGAGTGATGGGCAAGAAGCCCAGATTGCTGGGAGTTGGGGACTTCCAACATGATGAAGACTTGCAAGTTTCCAGACTTATTGACTGTTTATCTGAACATGTGGTGGAAACAGAATTTTCTTGGGAGAAATAACTAGGTGACCTTAGGCCAGTTACTTCATTGAGCCTGTGATCTCTAAATAGGCAATAAGAGTAATACTGTGTGTTTTTTATTTTTTTGGAGGATTAAAGGAGATCATTTTAACCCCCTAGAATGATGCCTGACTTTTAGTACTTAAATGGTCATTTTCTTTATCCACCCCCCGACACACAATTATTTTTATTTAATAACGTTGATGGTATCCATTACCCTTTGTAAATTTGTATAAGATTTGCAATTGTTAAGGATACCCTGTTTCTAGTCATTGGAGAAATTGTGAATAGCATTTGGCCTGGAACTAATATACCTTTAGTTGAACCACTGATAGGTGCTTTGAAATTACATGGTATCCAGCTGGAAAAGTACCCCCAAAAGTGGTTGTCTTAGTCAAGGCTCCTTTAGATACAAATTATGGAATCCTACTTCAGGCAGACATAAAAAGGTAGAGTGAGGAGAGATTTCTTTGGCTCATGCCACTGAAAATTCCGGCCTCAACATTGCCATATCCGTATCTTCTGGATCAAACAGTTATTATCAGTACTTGGTCTTTCTCAGACCATTTTGTAGCCTGTCTTCCATGTGATTCTCATTCTCAAGCATATATATTAGCTGCAAATTTCTAAGAAAGAGAGGACTTCCCAGTAGTTCTAACTAAAATCCTAGATTTAGTCTCACTGTTCAGACTTAGGTCACTTGCCCATTCTTGAACAAGTTGCTGTGCCAGGGTCCTGGGGATATCCTGGTTTCTAGGCTTGGCTCAAGGAACATAACATCCTGGTCTGTGAAATAGTTGATACTGAGGGGAAGAGTGACTCCCCAAAGGGAAATCAAGAGTCTGGTACCAGAATGAAGGGGAGTAGATATAAAGCAGGCAAAACAGCTGACATCATCTTATTGTATAGAAAAGTGCTTTTTTTTACACTGTGCTTCCAGCAATTCTAGGGGTCCCAGCTTAAACAAGTTGAATATAAAGAAGAGAATAACAAATTATTCGAAGTTCTCTAATCCACACGCACTCCAGCTTCACCAAGAATAGCTTTACTTTTATATGTTTTTATACCCAGTTTTTCTAAAGATTTCATTTGAAAATGGACATCGGTATAGGACAATTTAAGATGGTTAGACCCATAAACTATACAGGTAGGTGACCCTCTTTTCTCACTCCATTCTGCTGAACAAGTTCTTGCCCTGCCTTTTATTCATCCCCATTGGCCCATCTCATACATCTCATATTCCTAACCCTACTAAGACTCAGACTTGAGTCCTCTAAGGTCAGACATAGGAAGGTCATGACATGAGGCAGACTCAGTTTACTGTTATTAGGGTGCTTAAAAAATTTCACTTACCCTTTGCTCACCTAGGAGACATCCCCAAAAGTTGTCGACAACTTGGTGACTTAGTATGATCCAGCAATTGTAAAGCAGAAAAATTTGATACATTCAAGAAATTCAACAGATCATATTCTTCAATGATAATGTATATGCTGAAATTTGTAGTTGACACCTGCAAGCTGGGCAGTTTAATTTTTCAATCCTTTGGCTCATCTCCTAGATAATCGCTGCTTAAATCACACTCTCAAGTTTTTTTTCCCTTATCTACTATTGACTTTCTTTAAGTACCTGGCCCACCCTTTCATCCTCCATATCCGAGTATAAATGTGGCCAGGTGCCTTTTTATGTAAATAAGGTTTTATTGGAACACTGACACACCCATTAGTTTAAGTCTTACCTGCTCTCCCTCTATAACAGCAGAGGTGAGTACTTATGAAACAGGACGTTTGACCCACAAACCTAAAATATTTACTGTCTGGCATTTTACAGAAAAAGTTGTTGATCCCTGCTGTATTTTTATGTGGCTTATAACAGTATTTCTCCTTTTTGACATATGGCATATTTATGAAGAAGAATCAGGTGATGTCCTTATAATATTCTCATTCTCTGTTGTTCTCAAAAGCATATCTAGGGAAATGTTTTTGCTTTACCTTTCCACTTGTGCTCTTTCAGTTCTCTGAACAACTTCTCTTTGTTTCTGGAGCCTCAAGAGTTTAGTCCTCTTATGCCAGCCCTTTTTTGAAGAGCAGGAGGGAGAGGGGTGACAGCTTCCCACTCAGCCCTCGAACACATAGGTACACACACCTGTGTGTACATTAAGTACACATGGCTGTAGGTACCGAACATGGGGACAGAAATCAAGATTTGGTGTCATCTTATTTCCCCTCTACTGAACCCTCTTGCTTTCCTATTTGCGGTGGTCATTGCAGTGTATTTGGTGAAGAGGTGTTTGATGCAGGCCAGGAGGGCTGATGAAGGGAAACGGGGGAGAGGAGATTTCCCCTGACCTGGTCACTGGATTCTGTAAGCAGAGGCAGCTTACTCATCAGAAGGCTAAGTAGTAAAGCTCTACTTGAAGAAGAACAGGGATAGTAATACCTCATTCCTACATTTTTGCAGTCTAAATGCCCTGTGGAGTGAGAGAAGACTTCAATCCCTAGGCTTGTGAATCCCTTATCTTTCCCAAACGTTAAATTAATTTTTAAAGCTATTTATTCAAAGTTGACTTAACCACTAGAATAGGAAAGATCAGACAAATCAGCTGCAAGAAATGAAGTATGAGGAAACCCGAACTCTTTGACAAAGTATTCCTGGGAGTAAATGTGTTGAATGAAGCCAGCGGGTAAATGATAAGGGCCTTTACACTGTGGATGTAAGAAAGCAATTTATCAAGAGTACATGAACTCTCTGGTGACCACAAGTCAGGAGGAAATGAGAGTGGAGGAGGAACCCTGAAAAAATAAATTTGAAATACTAAAAAAAAGTGTGTGTGTGCATGTACTTTTAAATACCTGCATTAATATGCAGAAATACAGGCATATTCAAATAGGAGTGGCTCAGAGTGCACATGTACAGTAGCCTATACTGTGAAGGGATGAGGTGCTGGGAAGAGTGGTTGAGAAAGCACGGGCAGTGGTTTAGAACTTGCAGAAAACTCGGGCGCTCTCAGGTGTAGTTACAATTTGAGCCTGGTTGTTGTCTGATACCCATTTGCCTGACTTATGAGATTAGATGACCATCTTTCAGGCTCACATGTTTATCTTTTTTAATCTCTGGAAGGTCATCTGTGTATAATTCTGACAGTTGATCTAAGGCTTTTGTGCTCTCTTAACGAGTTCAAAGCACCTCTCACTCATTATCCCATTAATCTTTGCAGCATCTCTTTGAGCCTTGTAGATGAGACAATGTTATCTTAATTGTTCACTGTAGAGAAACTGAGGAAAACTGTAATTACATTATCTGCAGTAGCGTTCCCAGGAGCTCAGATAAGGTTGGGGACTAGAATGTATGACCTTATCTTGGCTTGTAGATCTAGATGTAACTTCTTAGACATGAGGAGAAAAAGGCCTAAAGTATTTACTGTGAGGATGGTCATCCTCAGTTTTTCTGGACTGAGGTAACACCGCTGAAATACACAGAAATTCTTCAACTTTGATGTTTGTCATTTTTTCCCGTTTTCATCTGATACTAAACCCTTGTCAGAGCTGTTTATAAAAAGGGACCAAGTTACAACGTGAATTCCTTTTTCTTGAATAGGCCAGTGAACATTAAACTGTCTAACAGGTGAATAGCAAGAGGGAGAGTTGGAAGAACTACTTCTTGGGATAATCCCTGCTCACTAATTTAACTTGAGTTACTTTAGTAGCCCTTATTCCCTCCGATTGGGCCTTTTAACCCTGTAATCTAAAGAGCTGCTCCTCTTCCTCTTTAAACCATTCAAGTAGGATAAGGGGTGAATCTTATTCAGAAAACTGATATTGGCTAAATCTGCTCTTATGGCAGGAGTCGGGAATTGTTTTTCTGTCTTTGGTGGGTGGGGAGGACATCATGGCAACTTGGGCTACACCATAGTTCAACTGGCAAATTAATTAGTCAGGTTTTTAGAGCCAGCCACGGTCATTTAGAAACATCCTCAGTGGCTCTTTTTCTGAAAGTCGAGTATGTTTTGTATTTGCTGTTGTCTGCAATTTATAAGCATACCAAATTAAAAAGAAAAGGCAAAGCAAGGAGGAGGTGGGAAGAGAACTGTTTACATTGCAAACTCCTGCTTAAACATCTGTGGTCATGATCCATCTGTAGAAACAGAGCCCTGATAACTTCCAGTGACTTGTTTCTACTTTCTTTGTCTCTGCCCTTTCCCTCGATCTCTGGATTCCCACCCACCTCCGGAACTTTGGTGGGGACACCACAGCCTTGGATAAACTCAGCACGCAGCATCTATACCACCCCACCCAGGTGGAGATCGTGCAGTCCAACGTGGTGTTCGACATCAGCAGCCTGATGCTCTACGGGACGCAGGCGGTGCCGGTGCGGCTAAAGATCCTGCTAGACCGTCTCTTCAGTGTCCTGAAGCAAGAGGAGGTGCTGCACATCTTGCACGGCCTGGGCTGGACCCTGCGGGATTACGTCCGGGGGTACATCCTTCAGGTAGGGGGAGGATGGCAAAGCTGGTGTCTGGCCAGCTCTAGGATGGGTTGAGGGAGAACCCTTGCGAACCTGGTCTATTTCCTGCCCCTCACAGGCCTGGGCATGCACACCCTCTTCTGATTAAAATGCTCCTTTTGGCAGGCTTGTTAGAGAACTGGAGAGAAGGAACTCTGTCCCAGCAGGCTGGCACTGGGCCTCGGTGGTGGATGGTAGAAAGGAAAAAGTGACCTGTTGCCTAGCGTTGCTTTGTTTGCATCTTTTTTAAATTCAGCTCTCTGTCCCTACAACGTGGGCTTCCTGCTTCTCCAACAAGTCTGATTTAGCCCCACTAAAAGGAAGGGCTGTTTGAGGTGGGTGACATGTTTGTGAAAATCTGAGATTACATTTCATCTGGGTTTAGTAGGGCTTTTGCTTGCACGGAGTTTGTAGGTTTAGTGGTTTTTTGTTTTGTTTTTTTGGTTGTCCGTGTACCTTATTTATTGCTTCTTCATCCGAATCAAAAGAACTGTAACCCCTGTAAACTCTCTGCTTTTATAACCAGTAAACCCTCACATTCCAGAACCCAGAGACATGGTTATAGATTTGGCTTTCGCAGTACCTGTCCATCCAGCTTGAGCCTCTTGTTTGTATCAGTGGCACTTGCAATCTGGTAAGGGTCTTAAGACTTTTCCTGGAGGCCTGTAGCCTCCGCTTCCCACCCCCACCCCAACCTCCCTGCATTTTTTCGTCATTTTTTGCAGTATGTCATGAGTCGCTTTGCATTGTGTACTTTGCCTCTGAAGTGTTTTTATGGCCATCTGTCTTCCTACGACCCTTGAAGGGTAAATGTTGAAAACAGCATGTTGGGAGACCCCAGGATCCAAAAAGACTACACTGGACGATGAAGAAGTACTCCCTCCTGCCAAAGGAGATCACAGTTGGAGAAGGTAGAATCTGAAGTGATTTTTAAATTTCTTATGGGGATAATACCAGGAGAATTGACCCCTTCAGGAAAAACAAAAAACAAAACACGGTTTTTGGCTCTGCCAGCCTTGTTTATCCCCCAGTCACCCTGTGTTGTGTGCAAGGCCTTGGCTGCCAGTGTGGTATGTGAAGAGTGGAGGGCCTCACATCTCCCCCTTGCCTTAACCTGGCATAAACACACACACATTCCTGTCATTCTCCTATGTGGTACCTCCAGGTGTTAGCCAGGGCAGGAGAGCAGAGAGGTATGATGACAAGAAGTAGAGAGAGACAGAGGGTAGAATAGCCCGTCTGCTCCTGAGACTGCTTTGGTTAGCATTGAGTCATTGCTTAGTTTAGTGAGATGTCAACTTGGAAGGCACGAAAAATTTGGCCCTCAGAAGACAAGATGATGATGATAATAGGAATAATTATATATTACGTTTTTAGTTTATAGAAGACTTTCACAAGCATTATCTCATTTGCCTCAGGGTGGGGGCACTTCAGTGGGGTGAGTGGAAAGTTAAGTCCTGGGTGGTCAGGAGACCTGAGGGGGCATGAGGTCCAGAAGGAAGAGGCCAGGAAACATAAAGCATGGAACCAGTTTCACAATACCTGCTCATACTGGCCTGCAGTGGATAGGGTGCCACATCTTTCTACATTCGTTTCCACAACATAATTATTAATATCCATTTGGGATAGCTCTTACTCTACAGAAAGGAACGACGCTCTTGCACATTTTTGAACAGCATTGTTAGCATAGCTAAGCACTCTTTACTTTATTCAAAACCTACGGTAATATGCCCTTATCTAGTACCACCTTTACTGCCGCCACTCTGATGCTTAGTTCTGTCATAAGTGCTGTATTTCAGTTCTATGTGTATATTTTTGCCTGAGCTATCTGGAGCAGATATATGGTATCTTCCTGGCCAAACAGATACGTGCATGACTGATTAGTTGCCCTCCTAACAACCCAGTTCACTGTAGCACTTGGATGGCGGTAAATCGGGAACCTGCTTGTTGTAATGTGATATGGTCCTGATATTTTGCCTTGACCAATACCTGTTCTTTGTTTTATTTGAAATTATTATTTAAGTGCTAACTTTTCTCTGTTTCAGCCTATCTCTAAGGCGTGCATAGAAAATGTACTTTGAAATGTACTCTGTATTTCTTTTTGTTTTGACAATACAGAATTGCAAGAGAAATTAAGTATGAGAGGAAAATTCAGCAAAACCATGAGCTGAGATTTATAAAGTCTCTTATTTTAGGGTAAAATATTGCATATGAAGAATTCTGTCATTTATTGTGATACTTAAGTTATAATTAATTTTTATTAACTTAATATACATTTTGCCAAAGTCTTAAACTTAATATAATCTGTTTCTCCATTCAGGGCCTAGAATTGACATTTTGAGAAAATCATAGATGCTTTTTACATTAGAAGAATACTAGGTTTAGTTTTTGTCTTGTTTTATTGGTAGGATTGATATAATATAGATTTTATTTAAATGATGCTTTTTGTTACTTAGCATTTATCATCTATTCCTTGTGAAAATAGTTCTTGTGCGTAGCGGAAAAACAAGAGGTTGAAGGACAAAAAACTATGTAGTGAGAAAATGTTCATTTTGTTTAAAAAAAAAACACTCAAAACAAGAGCTAGGCTATAGAAATAAACCCTTTTCCTCTAAAGCAATGTGAGTTGGTTATTGGCCAATATTTTAAAAATTATATGTAGTAATGATAAGGTATACATAAATGACTTTGAATATAATTATATGTACCATTTTCATGCAAGGAGGCTGTAAAATGTGTGTCCAAAGGTTGTGGAACCCTATAATGCACTGTTAGCATACAAGTCATTTTATCCGGCTAGAACTCAATTGTCTTGTAGCCCTCAAGGCATCAATTTTAGCATTATTGCTCTCAACAACAGTATATTGAATATTATGTCAGTTAAAGGAGAATAATTATCAAGGCAAGTTAGGGTGGCTGTTAGTCTTACCACATATTGACTTGGTTAGCAGTTGGCTATAGATTGTGTTACTGGGCAAATGAAGATGTACGGTAAGTTGAACTGGTGAAGCCAGGATATTAATTTAACTCTCTCTGGGCCTAAACCTCCATCCCTGTATATATAGCTACTGCTGGTTCCAGAGATGGTTTTGAATGTGGAAGAATAGCAGGTGTCTGATCCGATTTTGAATTTTTGGGTGTGGGGGGAAAGAGGAATAGGCTGTGCAAAACTATCATTTACAAGCGTGTATGAAGAGGTTATTAAAAAGAAGAGGGAGGTGATAGTGATGGCACAGATTTAAAAAACTAGCAATATCTTTCAAGAATCCTGTGCTGTTTTGATAAAAATTACTTTTTCACTTCTGTAATTATCCATGCAATTCATAAGAAAGCCAGCTGGGTAGCATAACTTGGACCTCAATGATTTAAGAATCCAGGTAGCGTCTTAAAGGTAGAAAACCCAGTATTTTCCTGTGTAGCAATTAGCGTATTCATTCATAAAGTACAGAAAAAGTGAGGTAAATTTTAGGCTTTTTCCCACAAAACAGCAGAAAAAGGAAATAGGTAATTAGGTGCTAAAATCTAAAGGAACATAAGATGTTTTTCCTGCTGCCAAAGAGTAATTCTTTTTTCAAGTCTATATCCCATGGTACATTTATTGACAATAAATAGAAGCAGTGTCCTGTCATTTCCCCATTTTCCCTGTCTTTGACTTAGGATATAAGAGTATAGGTGATTATCATTGTTGAATTTAATCATTTAAAAATCAGGTTTTCACACAGTCATTTTTCAGTTTGAATGTGTATCTGACTTGCCAAGGCTCATACACCAGCCCATCTGTGGAAATCTCTTGCTTTGCAAATGAGTCCTGCCAGAATTCAGAGAACCATATCAGACACTCTGAATAATTAGCTAAGGTGTCAGCAGCCTTGTGAGAGGGCGAGCAGTGATGTACATTCAAATCACCTGTGTCTTGAAACAATCAGAACTAATAGAACCATCAATACTTTAGGAGACTATTTCCCAGGGTATTCTGGGGGCACTAGTCTTCCAAAGGTCTGCCTTTAGATTTGGGAGGAACTACACTCAGGATCCTTCTGGTAGAGCCTGAAGGTACACATTAGCATAAAGGCTATGAGAAGTTCTGGAGTAAGTGGTTTGTGAGAGTAGGTAAGTTGACTCCACAAACACTTTCCACTTCATAGCGTTTTCCTGTCAAGCTTCTCAGAACTCTTCCTCAACTTGGGGCATTCGCATATAGGGATTCTTCTGCCTGGACTCCCCTACTCCTCTCTACACATGGGCAATTTCTTGTTCGTTAGGTGTCAGCCAAAGTCCCACTTTTTTGAAAAGGCCTTTTCTGTCCAGGTTAACCAGTATAAGTCTTTTCTTGTGTGGTTCTACCTCAAGAGTGTTTCCCTCAAGCTCCAATCCAATTTAAAATCAATCAATTAAGTCAACTGTTAAAATGGTTTTCTTCCTGGCTTCCTCACTAGGGAATGCCACAAAGGGAGGGCACTCAATAAATATTTGTTAAATGAATGGGTAAAGAAACCTGCTTCACTTGGTATAGCTTGATGTTTCACCATGGAACTCATGGAATATGTAGTAACCTGTTGGTCCAAGGGCTTGTAGTCTTTCCTCGGGCTTCCTAGGTACTGGAAGGACAGATGGGCTCCTGAGGGCATTAGGAAGAACAACAAAAGCTCCCACACCCCCAGCTAGTGGTTGGTGTAGAACAAGTGTTTTGTGGTATCCATGTGGTAGAAAATGTCAATATTCAGCAAACACTTGTATTTAAACAGCCATTTGTGGAGCAAGTTCACATATGTTAGCTCTTGGAATCCTCTTATATACCATTCTCTTGTAGATATTGCCGGTGAATTAACATTTGGAGTAGTTGAAATTCAAAGAGATTGAATGACTTTCCCAGGATCACAGAAACTATTAATTGGTACAGCTGATGCACTATAAGCTTCCTGAGGATAAGAACCACTTGCTCATCACTGTAACCCAACTCCTAGTAACCAGCCTGACACAAAATA